TCCTCTGTTGCTTAGTTATGCCTCTTTCAGTAGATCTGTTTGGTTTTCAGATGTCCTTTCCTTTATTTGCATGCTATTTTCAATCGATATACTTTTCCAATAGCTAGAAACATGCCGTTTAACTCAAACAGGTTCCTGCTACTTTTACAGTTCATGCGGTAACATTTATGTTACATATCCCTTGGTAGCGTGGTTGTTCTAATTGCTTTTACTTTACAAAGCCTATACGAATTAAATGCTGATGCCTGCTAGCCAATAAGTGTTTTTGCATATGCAAATTTGGAAACATTAGTTTTACATTGATTATCTGACGCGCTTTCAGGGATTTAGCGCAGAATTACTTGACTGGATCTTTGCCAGCGTTTCTTGGAAAGCTCACTCGGTTGCAGTATCTGTAAGAATTCCGGTTTGTGTTTCTCTGAAGCATTTAAATGTAAATGGTAGTACTATTACGTGGTATCTCGTGTAGTGCATAACTTGCCCTGTTTTCTCTTAAAATTACAAGATCTTTGGTAATCAATGCGTTAACTGGAGTTTTACCGAAGGAGCTGGGTAACCTCAAGAATCTCGTTGCACTGTAAGATAATATACCTCTTTTTATTGTGGCAACTCAAATCCAGCACAAAAATATTGTAGCCATGTGGAGCTTGTCGATCTGTTGGTTCATTTTATTTTGATGATGCTCAAAATCTTTTTGTTTCTGGAAGTTACCACAAAGTAAAACAAAAGTGTAGGCTGCATAAATCAAGCACCTGATTTTTCAAGTACCAATTGTTCCACCATTTTTGTATTTTCTGAAACTCCATTTCCTTGTGTTTCAGGGGCATTAGCGCAAATAAGTTCGTCAGTCCACTCCCAGTAGTAGAAAACCTGACCAAACTTGAGCAACTGTTATGTCTTGGTTCTGCTTGACCTAATTTTCCTTGTAAGACCCATGTACCAGAACTCTGTTAGAAATATAATTGGGTTTAAGTTAGAGATAAAGAGATAGAGATAGAATTAGTTTAAATCACATGTAACTTGTCTTGTACTCCAAGTCTCTACCCCTCTTGTACTCCTATATATACCCTACACAAGGGTCTGATCAATACAACACAAATATTCAATCATCTCATATTTTTCACATGGTATCAGAGCCAAGAGGTCTTGAGTTCAAGACCCGGCTGGCACAATTAAATTGCAGCCCACTTTCGGTCCACGTTTAGGCCTGAGAGAGCCACATGTGAGGGGGAGTGTTGACGTATAATGTGTTGCCTAGCCTCTTCCATCAGATCGGTCTTTTGATTGCATTGGCTAGAGCATGCACTTCTACATGGTATCAGAGCGGTTTGTCCAACGACGCCGATCCTAGGACCTTCCACCACTTCCGCAGCTCGCCACCCCCGGGGAGATTAATCTCTCCCGGGGGCGCGGCACCCGATCAATCAAATATTAGATCGGTCACGTAGTTTTAGATCCAGTTTTCGAGTTCACAAGCAATAGATCAATTCCTTAACTAGTTTCGATCAATTCCTTTTAGCCTCCAAATAAACCTATTGATCTAGCCCATTATTCAGCGAAAATCTTCAGCAGAAATCGGTGCTTCGTCGGCCCGGTGCCAACTCTCGCACAACTTCAAGCCGGCAACCACGTGCAGCTGCTCCGAGCCATGTGCCGGAGGTAGCGCACACCCGCCGATGAGCAGCGGATCGATCCCTCGGCTACGACATCAACAACGCCATGGATCGATCTATTACGAGCGGCACGGTGCCTTCCCCAATTGGGCCACGCGCACAGGCGTGGACGCCATCGTGCGAGCGCGACCCAGAACAGCGGACGCCGGCTCCTCCAACAGGCATGTGATCCGATCTTCATCAACGCCACATCACCTTGCCCCTCGACATCAAGCTTCACCAAAGGTTCGTCCAGCCATGCGTAGGTACGCCCATGCAAAGCAAGCTTGCATGCGCACATATCCATCCATGAATCATGCACATGGCCACGCAAACCAATCTCGTACGAGGAGACGCATGCAGCAAAACCTGGACTCCGGCACGTGCCTCCTCCTGCCGCGTATGCCACCTCTACTTCGACCGATCTGCAGCCCGCGCCACTGCATCGACCTTACGTCTGCATCGAGCGATCTGACTTCACTGCATCGGGAGCTATCTACATCAACCTACCGCACCTGGAGCGGCCGACTCCTCCAGCGAGTGAGCTACAAAATCAACATGAAGCTGTACGACTACGCCAGGTTACGAGCAACATACTTCTTCGGCACGACAGGCCGTCGACACTTCGTCGCCATGGAGGGACGCCTTCAAGTGATGCATGATCGTCGACACGCCACCGCGACGCCATCGCCGACACTTCATCGTCAAGGTCTTCATCAACGTGGTCTTCACCAACATCTTCATCAACACACCGTTGCTGCCGCCTCGTCCATAAGATGGACACCTAGCGTCCTCTGACAGACTTTTCTGCAAGACGTGACCTCGACGACGGCATCGACCGCGTCACGACGACGGCATCGATTGCGTCATCCACGACGGCACGACTGCATCGACACGGCGTCACTACAGTGACGACCCTACACGGCCACACGGTTCTGGCAAAACCGATGTGTGCTCGATGGGCTTCCTCCGGTCTTGGCAAAATAGGTGGACTCATCGCCGACGGCACCCTCTGACATCAGCAAGGTGTATCGTCCACGTCTGCAGCTCCGTCATAGCGCATTTTTTTGCGCGTCCGGTTTTGTGCGGCTTCATCATCCACGACGACCACACCATCGACCACGACTACCTCGACCACGGCTACATCACCATGATCGGCTACCTCGACATTAATGGCTACGTCTACAGCAACTCATCGGCAACAACTCCAGTCAACAGCGTCCGCCTCGTCACTTGCGTTCACGACACTCCCGCTGTGACTGCGGGAGGGAATAGAGGAGAAGGCAGGAAGGCACCAGAAGGGGACACAGTCACCGCCCTAACTGCCAACCCATCAGAGACGCAGTGGATGATGGCGCAGCGGAGAAGACGACAAAAGAGCAAGACTTCAAATTCAGTCGTAATCGTCCGCTACACTCCCGCTGCGACTGAGGGGGAATGTTAGAAATATAATTGGGTTTAAGTTAGAGATAAAGAGATAGAGATAGAATTAGTTTAAACCACATGTAACTTGTCTTGTACTTCAAGTCTCTACCCCTCTTGTACTCCTATATATACCATACACAAGGGTCTGATCAATACAACACAAATATTCAATCATCTCATATTTTTCACAAACTCAGCATAACCATTTCTCTCTTTCAATTTCAGGTATATCGATAGTTGTGGTTTAAGTGGAGAGCTACCATCTACCTTTTCCAAACTTAAGAACCTGAAAACCCTGTGAATTCTCTTATCATACTTTCTGATCTGTTATAAAGTCAATAAGTCACAATCAGCGTATTAACTTCGCTTTTATCTATCCAGATGGGCATCAGATAACGAGTTTACTGGGAAGATACCTGATTACATCGGAAGCTTATCAAATTTGACGGACCTGTAAGATATCATATGAAGAATTTGTTGATGAAAATTATGAAATTGAGCCATGGAATGATCCACATATGTTTACGATGTTCATGATAGGACTGAAGTTACAGTTTTTGGGAGCCCGCTTTCAAATTTGTAAAGGAATTGATTCGTTTCTCAGCTAATTAGATGTGTGTGTCAATGCAGGAGACTCCATGGAAATTACTTTGACGGTCCCATTCCTGCAAGTTTTTCTAATCTTGTCAACTTGAAAAATTTGTAGGTTCTTCCTACTTTAGATTAGTGACACCTGTTATGCACTTAGTGCAAAAATCAGGCTTGTTGTTTACTAAGTTTTATATTGTGAAGGCGAATAGGTGATTTAATGGGAGAGGTGTCTTTGTTGGCTTTTGTGGTTAACATGACATCGCTGAGTACTCTGTACGGTGATAATTTGCTCTTAACAACCTTTTGTCAGTTTGCACTTCACAACTTTCTATGTCTTCGCATTTGTGCGATAGTCCTTAACCGTTTTTTTTCTCTTCCTGCAGAGTTCTCAGAAACTCCAGGATATCTGACAGTCTTGATTCAGTGGACTTCTCGAAATTTGTTAAACTCTATTCTCTGTAAGTTCGATGAAAATTATGAGTTTAATATTATTGGGGAACTGTTTGGAATCTACTGTATAGCTGAGAGTAAAGTATGTTTGTGCTAAAAGCTCTTTGTACATTCTGGGTGAGGCAGGGACTTGAGTTTTAACATCATCACAGGCAAAGTTTCTCCAGCCCTTCTGAACCTTAATCGCCTCAATTTCCTGTAAGGATATCTGTATATAATCTAGTTTTTTTAGCAGTCCTGTTTGAAGTAGTATTTTCATTTTCCCCAAACTAAAATTCAGATGAATCAGATTTCTTGGGAGCAATAACTTCTCTGGCAGCCTACCAGACATGATTAGCCCTTCACTTACTACTATGTGAGCTGTTTACTTCCTTCGTTTTAATTTGATTTTCCTCTTTCATACTGACATCATGTATATCTGCTAGTCGCAATTGCAGGTTGGATGTGATTTGGTCTTTTATTTTTTCTTCCTCCTTTTGATCAACATGTCTTCCATCTGTCTTTGCAGTGACCTGTCATACAATATACTCTTAGGAAGATACCCTTCTTGGGTTAACAATAATAATTTGCAAGTGTAGGTTTTTCTCTTCTAATTCCCATTTAGAAGGCAGACAAATCAATACATGTCTTTTCCCGCAAAAAACAAAATCAATACATGTCTGCTATTTTCAATTTGTACTGTGAAACCAGAAACTTTCATGAACATGGCAGTTTGTGACCTAACAGTCTGAATGGTATTTCTTTTAGGAATTTGGTGTGGAACAACTTTGTGATAGATAACTCAAACAACAGTTTTTTTTTTCATTGCTTCATTTAGTTGCCCCTCGTATCTATGAAAAACTTATATTCACCATGTGATTTAATGGTCTATTTTGTTCCTAGTATTTTGCCTTCAGGACTAAATTGTCTTCAGCGAGATACTCCATGTTTTGGTTCTCCATCTTGTGAGTCCTTATCTCTTAATTCTTAGCAGTATCTGTTCTGGGCATCACTAGAATCTCGGTATCACTTCTTTATTTCTTCTAATTTGTAGATTCCTCCTTTGCGGTGGACTCTGGTGGTTCGAGACCCATCAGAGCCTCAGACAACTCCATTTATGAACCTGATGATGCCAGTCTTCAACTTGCATCATACTACGTTACAAACTCAACGAGATGGGGTGTTAGCAACATCGGGAGACCTATGGATTCCATGAATGAGAGTTACATAGTATACACTTCTCGCCGGTTTACCAACACTCTTGATTCTGAACTATTTCAGACAGCCAGAATGTCACCCTCTTCATTGAGATACTATGGCATTGGGCTCAAGAATGGCATGTACAACGTTGTACTGCAGTTTGCAGAGATCTATTTCCCAGACGACCAGACATGGATAAGTCTGGGAAAGAGGATTTTCAATATATACGTCCAGGTGGTTTATTCTTGAATATATTAACAAATGATAATATTTTGCAGTGATTCTCATTTTTTTTAACAAATGATAATATATACGTCCAGGTGAATATATTCTTGAATATATTAACAAATGGAAGATCTTATACTGTTGTTCAAAAGCAGTACATTGTTGAAGTAACGAATAATTTCATTGATATTCATCTCTTTTGGGCTGGAAAGGGAACTTGTTGCATTCCTATCCAAGGGTTCTACGGGCCATCAATCTCAGCATTAAGCGTATCTTCTTATGGTACTGTTACTTGTGCTAGTTGCTATTCAATTTACATAAATAATTCATATTACAACAGTCTGCTTTTTATTATCTTACTCCTACTGTAGGTAGCAACGGTGAAGGGGTTCCTGGTCCACAGAAAAGCAAAACCAGCAAAATAGGTTTGGTTGTCGGAGTTGTAGTCTGTGTTGCAGTATTAGGCTTTCTAGCACTCGCCTGGGCCTTTGTTTGGAGACAGAAAAGAAGGAAGTTAGAGATGGAAATGGAAGGTAACACAAACAGTAAAATTGATGTGGTAATCATGGGGAGAAACTGACAGGTGCATCCTCATCTTTTTCCCTGGTGTGGCATTTGCAGAGCTGTTCAGTATAGTTGGAAGGCCTAACGTCTTCAGTTATGGTGAAATAAAGTCTGCTACAGACAGTTTTAGTCCTGCTAATATTCTCGGAAGAGGGGGATATGGACTGGTTTACAAGGTCGGTTACATTTCCAGCAAGATTAAGCAGTTCCGCATTTCATTGTGTAGATCGTTGCTATTCGCAATCTACCTAAACATAATGTACTTCTTTCATGCTGAAATCATGGGTTGTATCTATTTGTAATGGGGAAATCATGGGTTGTATCTTTTGTGTACAGGGTAAGCTACTTGATGGGAGAATGGTAGCTGTAAAGCAGCTGTCTTCTACATCTCATCAAGGGAAAAAGGAGTTCATGACAGAAATTGCAACCATATCTACGGTACAGCACCGAAACCTCGTGAAGTTGCACGGTTGTTGCATCGACAGTAAGACGCCACTTTTGGTCTATGAGTACCTGGAACAAGGGAGCCTCAACCAAGCAATCCTTGGTATACCTTTTGTTTTTATTGTCCACCTCAACTTTCTTCCTTGGTGCCATGAAAAGCAAGTACCCTTCCAAGTATCTAAATCTTCGGTGAAAATGCAGGCAAGATAGATTTGAACCTGGATTGGAGGACACGCTTTGAGATATGTGTAGGCATTGCAAGAGGTCTAGCATATCTTCATGAAGAGTCCAGCATGAGAATAGTGCACAGGGACATCAAAGCCAGCAATGTCTTGCTCGACGCCGATCTCAACCCTAAGATCTCCGACTTCGGGCTGTCCAGGCATTATAAGGACAGCATGACACATCTCAACACCGGAGTCGCTGGGACGCTGTAAGAACATTTGTTGTCCATCTTAATCATTCCATGCACCTTGATAACAGAAAATCAATCAGACGCTCACCGTTTTCTCTGGTTTTAGTGGCTATCTCGCACCTGAGTACGCGATGATGGGACACCTGACGGAAAAGGCCGATGTTTTTGCATTTGGCGTCGTGGCACTGGAGATCATCGCTGTACGCCGGAACTTCGATGACTGTCTCGAGGAAGATGAGAAGTATCTTCTTGGTTGTGTAAGCTTCTCATGATAACCATCTACTTCACTTAGTTTAGTACACTGACGAAATCAAACCTTATCACAACTTGCAGGCCTGGCATCTGCAAGAAAGCCATCGGACACTCGAATTGTTAGACAGTAAAGTCGCTGAATTCGACGAGGAAGAGGCTGCACGACTCATTAACGTTGCTCTTCTTTGCACGATGGGCCTGCCCCAGCGACGCCCAGCGATGTCCAAGGTCGTGGCCATGCTCACGGAAGACATCGAGATGACCGACGGACGTGGACAGCACCATGAGGCCTAGCTACGTCCTGGAATGGCAGGTCAGGAGCTTCAGCAGCAGCTACATCCCAGGGTCGGGGTCGTCGGTTCAGCAGTCTTCAGGTAACCAATTCAGCGTGCCGTCCAGCTCCAGCAACAAACTCGGGATCCACAGGGACACCTCGCCGCTGGCTCTGTCGCGTTGTTCTAGTGGCGGGATCGACGAGGGAACGTGAATACCCCTGCCTGCAAGGCTGCAGATTTTAGTTCGAGTTGAGAACTTGGATCTTGTGATCTTGTCCTTTCCAACATTGGGTCCTGAACTCCTGATTCCTTCATTGCTATACTCAATTACTCATCATATTTCGTTAGTTTGTGTAGAGAAGTAGAAGTACGTAGTCTTGAATGAAGAGAACGGCGTTTAGAATATACCTGGCCATGCCGGGCCGGGCTTCGGGCCGGGCCTAGCCAAACCCGATGCAAAAAACCCAGGGCCGGGCCTGGCCCGGCCCGGTCATCGGGCCTGTTTTCTGAGCCCAAGCCCAGCCCGAACGAGTAAAAGCCCATCGGGCTTTGGGCCGGCCGGGCCGACCCTTCAAAAAACATGAAAAAGATGAGCCCGGGCTCGGCCTTCAGGCTCAAAATCTAGGCCCGGGCCCAGCCCGGGAGCAGCGTCGGGTCGGGTCGGGCCGTTTGGGCAGGGTTGCCCATGGCCAAGACTAGTTTGGAAGATGAATAAATCTGGTGTTTTTCTGTCGGATCCTTTTATCTAGTGTTAAAGATGGCTCAAGTAAAATGTCCTTTTAGGAATTTATGGTATATCAAAATACCTCTTAAAATTAAACTTCTTTTTATGTGGTTAGCTTTTAAGAATAGTATTTTGACATAAAGATAATATTGTGAAGAGAGGCTGGACAGGTAACAGTAAACCCTACCCTCGACCCGCTCCCGCCCCTGAAACCCTCGCCGCCGCCTTCCCCTGCCCGTCTCCGGCGGGATCCGATCGCCCTTGCCGGCGCGCGGCCCGAATCCGCCCCCTTCCCCCGCCCTTCCTTCCCCGCCCCTCCTTCCGCCCTCGTGTCGCCTCCCCGAGAGGCGGCCGGGGCAGCCCCCGCGCCTCTGCTCTCGGCCTCGCCCCTTCATCCTCTCCCCTGCCGTCGCGTCCTCCTGGCCCGGGGCAGGGGGCAGCGGCGGTGTCACTCGGCTTGGCGGTGGTCCGGTGACCCGGCGTGGTGGCCGGCGGCGGACGTGGTGGCGGCGCTGCTCCTTGGCGGCGGGTGAGGGAGTCCTGGATTAGGGGGTCCTCGGACAGCCGGACTATATACTTTGGCCGGACTGTTGGACTATGAAGATACAAGATTGAAGACTTCGTCCCGTGTCCGGGTGGGACTCTCCTTTGCGTGGAAGGCAAGCTTGGCAATTCAGATATGTAGATCTCTTTCTCTGTAACCGTCTCTGTGTAACCCTAGCCCCCTTCGGTGTTTATATAAACCGGAGGGTTTAGTCTATAGGACAAGAACAATAATAATCATAGGCTAGCTTCTAGGGTTTAGCCTGTATGATCTCGTGGTAGATCAACTCTTGTAATACTCATATCATCAAGATTAATCAAGCAGGAAGTAGGGTATTACCTCCATTGAGAGGGTTCAAACCTGGGTAAACATTGTGTCCCCTGCCTCCTGTTACCATTAGCCTTAGACGCACAGTTCGGGACCCCCTACCCGAGATCCGCCGGTTTTGACACCGACATTGGTGCTTTCATTGAGAGTTCCATTGTGCCGTCACGATAAGGCTTGATGGCTCCTTCAATCATCTGCAACGATGCGATCCGGGGTGAGGTTCTTCTCCTCGGTCAGATCTTCGTATTTGGCGGCTTCATACTGCGGGCCAACTCGCTTGGCCATCTAGAGCAGATCGATAGCTACGCCCCTCGCCATTAGGTCAGGTTTGGAAGCCTGAACTACACCGCCGACATCCGCGGAGATTTGATCTTCGACGGATTCGAGCCCATGGCAGGTGCGCCGAACGGTGACGATGAGCATGACTTAGATCTGCCATCGGACGGTGTTCAGGAGATCACACTTATGGCTGCCCCGGCTTTTAATCCGGAGCAGATCGTGCCATCCTAGGGCGGGTGGATGGACCCTGCCACGGAGGACGCACACTCATCGGCGCTAGAGCCGAACACAGACTTCACCTCCAAATAGATCTGTGTCATCGGACCCTCGGACTCGTCTCCGGCCATAGGTTCCGAACCACGCGCGTCTGTGCCTATCGAATTTGAGTAGGAACCGATCATGGAGTTTACCTTTGCGGATATCCTTCAGCACTCACCCTTGGGCGATGTGCTAAATTCACTGAAATCTCTCTCCCTATCAGGAGACTCTTGGCCGAACTATGTCCGGCTCGAGTGGGAAGCGGACGACGAAGAAATTCGTTTCCCACTCACCACCCACTTGGTAGCCACTGTCGATGACTTAACCGACACGCTTGACTTCGACTCCGAAGACATCGACGGTATGAACGACGATGCTGGAGATGAACAGGAACCACCGCCCACGGGGCGCTGGACAGCCACCTCATCATATGATATATACATGGTGGATACACCCAAAGAAAACAACGGCGAGGAACGGAAGGATGCAACGGAGGATAATCCCCTCGAGAAGCAACCAAAGCGACGACGTAGGCGCCGCTCTAAATCCCGCCACAATAAAAACAACGATAACAGCGCAAGAAGAAATAATACGCTGGTCGACTCCAAAGGAAACGACGACCCCGTGGACCCAGTGATGGAGCAGGATGAGCCAGGGGACGACGAACATAATCCG